CCCCAAAACCCCAAAACCCCAAAACCCCAAAACCCCAGAATCTCGATGAATTATTGAAACTAAATTATTTGACGGTATTTACTTTTTACTCTTTCTTAATATCTTTCTTGAACCCTTAGCTGAAAGTTTGCAAGCTCTTGACTTTAATGGAAGGTCTTGTGGAAGAATAGTCAGAAATATGAGTCACAAATTATGAATGCTCATTTCATAAAAGACAACATTTAAGCTTCCCTCTAAACAAATTATTCTACAATCTCACTTGGAATGAGAATTACAAATAGTCTTTTGATCATCAAGGAATTTATAATCACTGCTCTCTTTCAGAGACGACTGAATTCTTTGTAAATTTTTATCAAGTGGAGTCTTCATTCCATTCCGAGAAATAAATCTGTTATACTTGCTCTCAATCATTTTGGCCTATAAAAATAAGAAACTTAATTACAGTTTTAGGTTTAGAAATCTTCCTCCTGATCACGGAAACTCTCTTAGAACATATCTTCTCTTTACCTTTTCTTTTGGCATTTCTCTCCTTTCCAATTTTAGCAGCTTTACTGGATCAGATGTAGTTTTGGGGCCCGAATGTGTTGTGCATACTTCAATCTGCTCTTCCCATCTCTTTGATATAGTTCCAATACGAGTGACTCAGTTCATTATAGAAGGTATTTTTCTCCCTTGATACAACAATAGAACCCTTCCCTCTTTGATGGGCTAGAGGGCCTTTAGGATTCTCAGTCAATCTTGTTGTGCTCGCCTTCTGAGACCCTGGCTTGTCGAGTTTTGGCTTCTCATTCCTTTTCTTCCCTTGACTCTTATTATACTTTCTGTGGCCTTGCTTATCAGTATCAATAGGGTTGTACAAATTATACTCAGCTCCCTTATTCATACTACAGTAGCTTGAAAGCTTGTTCACTGAAGTAAAGTTCTGAGCGTTCTCGAAGGTATGCCTTAAGATGTTCCTCTGAACTTCACCATCAATAAAAAGATTGGTATCTTTACTCTCGTAGCTTGGGTAGTAATATTTTATTTGGCGAGAAAGTTCCTTAGATGGCCCTTCTACTTCCCTTGCTATATTCTCACAGAGACATCTGCAGTCGTCAACCTGGTCTGGTCATCTAAATTCTTCTCTTTTTCTAATTTGATCGGAGTCTCTAATCGAATAGACTTTGTTCAGTCTAAAGGATTAGTGGATGAACCACCTTGAGTCAAGAATTTGGTGCTCTGAGTTTCCAACAAAGGAAGATACTGTTCATAATGCTTTTCTACCATAATAACACTCTTCTTGATCCCCACAAAGTTAAGGTTCTGCTTTCGAGGAGAGTTAAGGACTAAGAAACATGGTTTATTTTCTGAGGGAAATCCGTCCATTCACTCGTGTTGGTTTTTATCGTAGCTCATCGAAATAATTAGGTCTGAAAATATCTCTGCTAAGTCATTAACAATAACTATTCTCTTGCTGATCGATGAAGCTCATGAGTTCAATAGTGATAGGAGGATCGCTAAGCTCCATATTAAGTCACAAAGAATAAAGTATCTTGATGCAATCTTCAAACTCCTCAGCTTCGATCATCTTTTCAAGATTGGATGAAGGACTGTCCTCGTTTCCGTTTGTGAACAACTTTCAGAATTCTTGAGAAGGAAGAAGTGATTTGAATTTTGATTGAAGGACCTCCATTAAATGCTTTTTGATCCTTGCTAGGAAGCAATCATCATATTGGAATATATACTTAGAGTAAGTCTGGAGTATCCTGCCAATTTTATTTGTGATTGATCGTTTATCATTATCATTTTGAATATTCAAAATTGATAAAATCTCATCATTTTTAGCATGAATAGAATTTTGTATTTCCAACTGACAAATGTAGAAAGTAGTTTGAATCAACATAATGTAGAGATGTTGATCATCGTAAAAGTTAGCAAAGGCATCGATTATCTTCTCAGTGGTTAGCTCCTTCCAAAGCTCCTTAAACTCGCTTGGCAAAAGAGCAGTTGATGAAGTATCGTTAATGCTCTTCGCATTGATGGAGAGCATTTTCTGAAGTTTATCAATTTCTTTATTTAAGCTTCATTCATTCTGTTCGTGACTTCATAAGGTCAGCTTCAAGTATGCTAAACCTACTCTGATATTGACAATTAAGACCTCAAACTTGCATTGGTCTGCTTTCTAATTCTTCTATGATCAAATAAATTTTCTCACTTAAAATTTGAATCTTGAAGAGCTCTACATACCTGGGTGGTGAACCGTTTGCATTTGGAAAAAAATCAATATTTATTCTATTAAATGGGGTTTTGGGGTTTTGGGGTTTTGGGG